TAATAGATTATATTCTGATTATTTATATATTTTTCTTGCCTAAAAAATATAGATAGTAGATACTTTTTACTTAAAATAAGCCAAGTATATTTTATTTGATTTTGGAGATTCTTGTAAGCTTTTCCATATATAAAAACTTTATTTTATTTTGATATATATTTTTTATTTATCTAATAGTTAAAAAGATACTATTAGAAAGTTTAATTAGCATACTAAATCTTTTATTTTAGTTATAATATTTGTTATTTAGTATTTGATATCTACTCTTAGTTTAATATTCATAATCATAATTTATTTTTATTTTATTTTATTTTTGCCTTATATTAATATAATACTTGTAAGTATTAATACTAAAAAATTTTTAGAATAATTATAATCCTCTTTATTTTTATAAATAATTTAGTCTTTATTCTTAAAACTTATTATAAATTATATTCTTGATAAAATTTATCTTCATGAATATAATTTATAATAATATTATATTATAATTATATAAAATATAATATGAATTATGATATTATAAGATAATTAAATATGTAATATATTTTTATTTTAGCTTAGAAAAAAGAGAGGTAAAACTTATAAAAATTTAGAATAAGTATATAAAAATAAAACTTAAAAAATTTTAATATATAAATTAATATGCTAGATAATTTAAGAAATAATAAATTATAATATTAATAGATTATTTAATAAAAAAATAAGTTTTATTTAAAACTTTTCTTACTATTTTATAATTTTTTATTTAAATCTATATTGAGAGTTAAGATTATATATTATGTAAATATAATATATAATATATTAAATTTTGCATATTATATTAAGAATTTTATATTAAAAACTTGAGAATTTATATTAAAAAACTTTGTATTTTTCTAATAAAAATTATATATTACTTATTTGATTTCATAAAATTATATATAAAATATTTCTTTTTTTTATATATCACTAAATATTAAACTCTTTTTACTATAAATATATATAAAATCTTCTTAACTTTTGATTAAAAATATAAATTTTTACTTAATATTATCTGATTATTCAAAATTTTTATATTTAATTTTAATAATAAATAATAATCTCTTATCTTTAATATTTGAATATAATTTAATTATAATAAATATTAAAATAATAATTCATAAAAAATTTTTATATATATTTTACTAAATCAAAAGAATTAAATATATAAAAAGAAAATATTCTATCAGAAAAGAGATAAATAATCAAAATTTAATTATTAAATTTATATTTTATTAAATTAAAATATTATATATTTTTATTAAAAATAAAATACAAATTAAATAATATAATAACTTATTTAATTATATATATTCTTTAAAAAATAATAAAAAATTAAAATAATTATAAGTAATTTGAATTTTGATTAAAAATAAAATTATTAAAAATTATAAATTATTAGAAATTATTAATATAGTTAAAGAATATGTAATAAAAATTAAATCTTAATATATCTAACTTGTTATACTTCTTCTATCTAATTAATTTATTTTTTTGATTTCTTGTTTAAGATAAATAATTATCTATTATATTTATTATATTTATTATATTATTGTTATTTGTGTTCAGAAATTAATAAGTTATTCTATATTTTTGATATTATATATAAAAAAAGAGAATATACAGATTCTAAATTATTTAATATAAGTATTAATATCAAGTTATTTCTTTATAAATAATTTATTTTTATTACTAATATCACTATCTATAAATTTCTTATACTCTAATCTATTTCAATTATATATATAATATTTTTATCTATCTATAATTCCTAGTAAAAGTAATAATAATGAATATTTTTATTTATATTTTAATAATAAAATCTCTAAAATTCACAAAAATTTGTAAATATATTCTTTAAAATATTATGAACAAGATTCTCTAATAATATTGTTGTGATATGAACTTTTAGTAGAATATTAGTTAATTATATTATTGATTACTTCATATCATAATATGATTGAATGAATAATTCTTTATATCTTATTGGACATTAGTTTTAGAGAATATTATTTATAGATATTTTTAGAAGATTTCGCAAACACAATGATCATGGCAAAATTATCATAGCAAAGTTAGCAAAACTATTATAACAAAATTAACAATATTATCATAATAAAACCAATATTATAATACTAACTAAAGTGATATTTAGATCATAGCAAAACTAACATAAGTATTATAGCAAAAGTATCATTCATATAATCTCTAAAATATATAAAAGTGATATATCTTAGCTAGTGAATTTAGAAGTTAACAAGTTAAGGAGACAGTTAGTTAATTAGTTATTTAGTTTAGTTTGAGTTCTATGAGTTTAGTTCTCAACTCGCATTTTAGTAGATTATAGTTTTAAGAGAATTCTAAGAAATCTTTCTTGTAGAATAGATCTTGATTAAGATCTATTAATTCATCTTGTTAATAAACTAAATATTATATCTGTCTTGAAATTACATATTGGAATTGGGCTACATTTTAGCTAGTTACAACAAGAACACTATCATTACCTACCTTTAGATTAACTTGAAAATAATAGTAGAAATATTCTTGTTAATAAATCTTTTAAAGACTCTTCTAAACATCACTTTAAAATACGTAATTGCTTTTATTACGTATTTTTATAATATTAGGTTTAATACTCACACTTCTCTCAGAACTCGTATCAAAAAGGTAATAATATTATGATTATGATTAGATATAGTATAGATTACATATTTTAGAGATATTTTCTTGAATCAATTTGGATTTACTAGTTCCATTAGTTGATTATATCACTGCTATATATATTATAAAATTCTTAAAAATTATACTATACCTATAATTAAGATATATATCAGAAAAATTAAAAAAAAATTCTCTTTTAAGAGGATAATATATCTATTTATATTATGAAAATTACATATTTCTTTCTTACTTCTCAAATATAGAGCTACTTTCCTGGCCAGCTCAAAGTTTCAATCTTAATCCTATTAAGAATATTTGATTATTTATTAAAATTAAGATTCATTAATATAATATATAGTTCTCAAGCACTATGCAATTGAAAAAGTGAGTTAAAGAAGAATGAAATATAATATTAGAGAATTATTATTAAAATTTAATTAAATCTATAACACAAAGAGTTCAAGCTGTTATTGTAGTAAATAGAGATTAAACAAAATATTAGCTTGTATTTTGTTTTTATAATAAATAAATAAAATTTTTGAAAATGATTAGCTTGTAAAATAATTCACAAAAATATTTACTATTTTTTTCTATCTTCTATATATTCTTTCATCAATTATATCTAGTAAATATTATTATTATTATCACTAATTTTATTAATAAAAAAAAGCTAATCAGAAAGTATTAAGAAAATAAATATTTTATAAAAATATTAGTAATTATTATAATATAATATTAAAATAATAAGTCAAAATCAGATATTTTAAGTTAAAAAAAGACTTGTTATATTTAAAAAATACTAATTACATGATTATTCCAGATAATAAAATATTAAAAGTAAAGATTTTATTTAAATTTTATGATATATTAATTGCTAGATATATTAAAATAAATAAGATATATATTTTTATATCTCAATAATACTATTAGCCAAAGATAACTATAAATATATTACTAATTATGAATCTTGTTAATATAATAAAAATAGTAATTAATAATTCTCTGGATTACTTCAATTACTTGTCATTTTAAAATATAAATAAAAATAAGTTATTATAAATTTTATAGTTTAATTATTTATTTTCAAGTTTGAATATAATATAATAGTAATTTTTATTAATAAACTATTAAAAAGAGCATACTTTGTATTAATATACATAACAGAAATAGTACTAGATATTATAAAAATATTCTTTGAGAATATTTTTAAATTACATGATTTACTCTTAATAATTATTTCAGATAGAGATGTCAAGTTTATTAGCAGATTTTAATAGTTACTTTTTGAAGTACTTGAAACAAAATTAGCAATATTAACAGTATCTCATCCTTAGTTAATATTGGAATATCATGATCAAGACTGCTAAAGATTTGCTATTAGAAGTACAAGATAGATAGTCAAAATATGCAGATCAATATAAAAATATGAAGAATTCAATATTGAAGATCAAGTTCTTCTCTCCACTTGCAATATAGATAATCCTATAGATAAACAAAGAACAACCAAGAAACTCATATCAAAATTCATTGGATCCTTTGAGATTATTAACAAAATATCTTCTGTCATCTACAAACTGCAATTACCAGTTAATATGAAATTACACCTGGTATTTCATATTTCATTATTAAAGAAATATAACCCAGATGATGAATTCAATAGACACAGATGATGAATTCAATAGACACACATCACCATCAGCCATTATTATCTCAGATAATTAAGAAGAACATGAAGTTGAAAATATTCTTGACAAAAGAATTCATTATCACAAACCCTAATATCTTGTCAAATGGCTTGGATATCCTCTCTATAACTCTACAAGATTGTAATAATTGCCATTTTATGTCAAAAATGGAATTCTCACTGTGCAGAATGCTCAACTCACAATATATGCGATGGTCCAGCTAAATAAAGATGTTGGAATATCTGAAATTAAAGAATGATTCCTTCATGATAGGCATCAGATTCAAGAATCGATGTTTGGTTCTATTAGGAGAATTTTAAAATTATTATCATAAATTTCTAACATTATATTCTTATTCATATGATAGATCTATCTATGTTAAATATTATAAAGTAAACGAGATGACATATCTAAAACATAAAAAATAAAGGATGAACCTATTCTATAATGTGAATATAAATATCTAAGTTTCTACAATATTATATTTTACAAATGATGTCTACTGGTTATATGAAAACTTTTATTATCTACCGATTTTAATTTCACTGTAAAGATGGATTTCTCTGAGCCATATAGATGCATTTCAAAAGTTGACACTGATTATTAAGAAAGAAACAATCAACTTTATGCGTTTTTTTAAGAATTTTGTTTGCTGTTTTTCTTTTTATCATGATGTTTTGCTTTTTTCTTTATTTCAGTTGTTGGTGTTGTTGCAGCCATTGTAATCGTAGTCAAGCCACCCAGATCAACGTTGGCTTTTCCTAGGGATTTTGATTTAAAGTTTTTTCCAATTCCAGAATATGAAGGAAGATTTGATACAATGATCCCATCAAAGAATAGCTGCGAGATTCTAGATAATGGTTGATCTTTTATTGGTTGTGTGGTTTCCATGGATAAAGTTTGGGTAGGAGAGGATGAAGTAGGTGATGGCGTAGATGATGATGATGATGGTAGAATAGCAGAAGTTGTTAGATTTGCGGAAGAGACGCCATCACTACCACCGCTTTCATCTGCCCAATCCCATGTTATTGGAACGAAACCAGCATTAGAATCACCAATTTTATTAAAAGCGGCCAAAGTTAAATCCAAATCTCCAAAACCACAATTAGGACAACTATCTTGTACTGTCACGGTGACCGATCCTAATGGTCCATGAACAATAATTTTCTTCCCACAAAGCGGGTTAGCATTTGGATTTGATGGATTGCCCCATTGTGGTTTATTTAGCGCGCATATAAAATCAGAATCAGAATTTTCCTGTCCGCACGATCCTAACGACGGATTATAGTAAGTTGCTTTTCCGCCGAATCCTCGTTTTTCAAGTGTAGTACACTTTACTGATAATAAATTTGTACTGGAAAACAGCTACTTTTGGAAAAACGATATAAGTTCCCCTCACTATAATAGCAAATTTAAGATTACATTGTCCACCGGCGTTTTTACCGGCGTCCCACACCCTTTTTGAAGGACGGGAAAATTAACTAATCTGTAAAACAAGGGCTTAATCTCAGAACATAACACTAAGGCTACTCTACTGCTTACAATATTTATCCGTTTCTACCTTTGGCTTCTTGCCTTCTCGAGTTCCCATGTCATTTTAATAACGGAATCAAGAATATATTGTATTCGAACATCTCCGTTTTCAGTTAATTTCAAATACCAAATTACTATATTATTTATTATAAAAATAGCAGATCTCCCCCCCCCCCCCGAGATTTCCAAACCTAATACATATATACTTCAAAAGGTCGGGAAATTTTTTATTACATCAGCAAAATCGAATTCCCACAAAACCTGTGATTCATAAACCCGTGCAACACGTGCTTTCATTGATGACACGTAATAAATTAATGATGATTGAAAAATAATGAAGAGAGTTTCGGAGCAGCGGCAAACTTTGTTTTTTCTGCCACCATTTCTCCTGAAGTGGAAGGTTTTGCCCGCAATTCGCTAAAAATCCTTCCCTCATTACTGGAAAGACCAATGATTTGCCGAGCAACATCGAACATTATTATTTAGAAACCGCCTCTCTCCGGCAAAAAAATCATAATTTAATCACTTTTCTTTCGTCTAGACAACCGGATTCAGTAATTGTTTATCGCTGTATGTTGTATCAACGTAGAAAACAAAATTAGTAAGTAAAATAAATTGCAAATGAGATTAGTTTCTAATTATAGCTTTTTGTATACATGTTTGTTATAAATGTGTATTGGTAAATCGAAATTATCTTATAGTTATTATTTATCTAATCCTATATCTATATATCAGATCTTTAAAGATAGTGATTTTTGTGAATGAGCAAACCATCCTTCATATAGACAAAATAACACCTAGCTTATTTAGGAAAAAGACAAAATAAAATACATATTACACGTAATATCATAATATACGTCTATTTTAGTATCTAAACTCAATATTGATCATAAGTGTTTTAATTCTGATGAATTTAATCAAATTTTTCTTATCTTTTTATATTCCTTTTAACCTATGGATCGTCCGTCTCTTTTTTTCGTATTTTTGTGTTCCGATTCCTTCTTAAATTGATCTAAGATAATTTTACTTGTTGATTTAAATACCATTCAACTGCTTTTTTCTCATCTTTTTCACATGTTGATAACAAACAGCAAGATTAAATTGACCTAATTATTTGCATCTATGCTTTTTTCTCGTCTTTTTGTGTTCTGATTTCTTCATTATAACAAACACCAAGATTATATTGACCTAAAGTATCTATGCTTTTTTCTCATCTTTTGCATTCCGATTACATGTTGATAGAAAAATTCCAATAATGTGAAGTTAATCGTATCTTGAAAATTGCGAAGAAAAAATTTTTAATTGTTCTTGCGTATACATAATTATTGAGATGCTATTTCATGAGTTTTACCAGAATTGATAATTAGTTCTAATGTTTTTCTAGTAATCATTTTATCCTTTATTTAGAGAGTAAGAAAACGGCGAATTTATTTTGCATTTACATTTCATTTTAACTTTATTTGATATTAATTTATTTAAAAAATTTATTATTATATCCTTTATTTTAGTTAGTAAGAAATCGAATTTATTTCACATTTTGTATTTTCATTTTAACTTTATTTGATATTATTTCATTTAACTAATTTATTATTCTATCTTTATTTAGGGAGTAAAAAATCAGCGAATTTATTTTACATTTTCATTTTGATTATTTAACTAATTTATTATTATAGTATTTATTTAGATTGTAAGGAATCAGGAATTTTCATTTTAATTTTCTTTGAAGTTAATTTATTAAAAAATCCTTTATTTTATCCTTTGTTTAGATTGTAAGAAATCAACGATTTTTATTTTACATTTTAATTTTGATATTTGATATTAAATTATTTTAACTAAACTATTATTTTATTTTGCATTTTAGGTAAGAAATTGCCCATTTTAATTAATTTTTTTTGAATTTTCATTAGTATTTATTTATTCTTTTATACTTTTTATTATTAGATTTTTTTCAAAACGTTTAATTTCTTACCATTTGTCTAATAAAGGTCAGGGGTAAGAAATGATAGGCTCTTCTTTCTTTTTTATTTATATAGCATTCGATTCTTTGAAGTCTATGAAATAGCTTACGATCCTTCAAATGGAGGATACTTTTTAGTTATTATTTATGCCAACATTGGTAATCTACGCCATTGTCTACGAAAACAATTCACCAAATTAACATGGAATTATCGCATATAAGTGCTGTATGATATTTGTATTAATCTACATTCACAAGGTATTATACACGGTAACCTGCATCCTGGGAAAATTCTTCGATTAAGTGAACATGAGACTACAATCTGTGATATGGATGCTGCAATCATACAAAATTCCACTAAAAAAATTCAAAACAATTGGTATGATGCCATTTGTTGCATCAGAGATTTTTCGAGGAGAGACACCGGAATGGTCATGTGGAAATTATGTGTCGGTAAACTGCCATTTGGAAAATGTCCTTTCGATGTTAATTTAACCTTGGATACATGCGATGGATTGCGACCAAAATTACCAGAAGGATTACCTGACTTTTACCGCGACTTGATTGTACGTTGTTGGCATCAGAATCCCTTATATAGACCAACTTCCAATGAGGTATGCGATATCGTTGGCAAGGCAAATTACAGAAACGGAAGAACAATAAAATATACGCCGCCGAGGAGTTTAGAATTGCAAAAGCATCCGAATATGATTCCGCAAGTTACACGACGCATCCTTTGGCAGTTTACACGAGTAAAGTTTGACGAAAGTGAATCAGGAAGGTTTTGTGTTTTCAATAATGTTTGTATAATCTAATCCTATCAAGGTAATATTATGTCAAGTAGGTCGAATAAACAAAAGTAATCAGAATATCAAGCATTTCAATATCGAGAATCTTGGGAAATGTGGTAAAGAAAATCCATTAAGCGTTATCAAAATGAATTTTAAGTTAACAAAAGTTTATAAGGAAATAGCTATCGGTCTCGAAACGGTTAATGAAACCAAGTTGTCAATTGCAACGTCATTTCCAGCTTTTTTATATTATCTGCTTTAGTCATTTATATTTCAAAATTTTCATTTCTTCATTTTTAAAATTTCACTTCATGAATTTTTTGTGCTATATTTCAATACATTATTTTTATTCTTCTATCTCGACAAATGTTACATTTTTGTCTCATATAAACTCTTGAGTAATTTGCTTTGATTTATGTTTCTATTTAAAATCTATCATTCACATTATATCAAATTTTTCTGTTGTTAGTTTTTATACATTTTCTATTCGATAATGATGAATTATGTGATTTCCAAATTAATTTGGCTTGATAAAATAGATTTAAATAATAATCTCAGAAGAATCCACGGAGGGAAATTTGTAGTCATGGCTTTCATCTTGGAAACATATTATTAATGTGTAATTCATGTGCTTAAATTGCTGAATTGTTAAAGCGTAGTCATCATGTGATTCATCCCTTAAATTTTCAACTTATTAAAGGGAAAAATTTTATTTACGTTGAATCAAAGCGATATCAATCAAGATAATGGATGGAGTAAATTTTTTTCAGTCGCATGCAAGCTATAAGTTTCGTTATACATGTATATGTATAAAAGCCATAATTAATATTTGTTTGGATGCAACTTAGCATATGTAACTACTGAATTTGATATAGACATTGATGCAGAAGTCGCAGCTTTCATAGCATCTTACTAGAAAACAACAAATTTTTGAAGAAACAAAAGAAAATTTTATTGTTTCATTTTAAATTTCTAATTTTCATTTTATTTGTTGAAATAAATAAAAAAGATATATATATGCAGGCAATAAAGATTTGTTATATTGGGAGCATCTATATACCTTATAATTCTATGAAACTTTTCTTATTTGTTCCACCGAATCAAGTGCCAGATATGACTGAACGTAATTACATCCGTTTGATGATAAAGCCAATTCTAGATATTTAAAAATACATGTACTATCGCTCATGTAAATTTACATCAAGTTCTGTGAATATATAAGAAACTATCCACTTTAGCTTAATTAATTTGATCCTTGATAGAATTGTCCAAATAAAAAAATTACATTTGTTAAGAAATACAAAAACGCTTAGAATTAATAAAAACTAGGATGCAAATAAATCATCATCACTATGAACTGTTGATGTATTGCTAAGGCAAGGAATTAATCTGCTTGTGTAAATGGCTCCTGGATGAAGGTTTTGCTTTCTAACGTCTGTTTTATTTAGTTCGCGTGTAGATGCAGCTAATTCATCTTTATCAATATCTTTATTTATCCACGCTGAACCACGATTTCTTATTCTTCTAACTAGAGTGTAAAGTTTATTAACATCAGGCCGCTTTTCTGGATCTTGATGCCAATATTTTTCCATCAAATCTTTCCAAGATTTTGGTATGGCATAAGAAATTTTTGGTCTGAGGCCATCACATATATCTAATTGGAGATAAACGTCATGACTACGATCACCAAATGGGTATTCACCACCAGAGGCAATTTCAGCCATAATAATTCCAATTGCATAAATATCAGCTGCCTTTGTATATGGCTGATTACGAAACAATTCAGGTGCCATGTAAGGCATAACACCATATGATCCATTTACTGGTTTTGAATCATCAACAGGTCGTGACATTCCAAGGTCACTAATATAACCTTCTAAAACCAATTTTCCTTTGAGCACATTTCCACTATGAAGATCACCATGGATAAAATTTTTTGAGTGTATATGTTTCAGATTATCAACAATTCCTTCCAATAATTCAACTCGTCGATACCAAGTTAAATTTTCATTTTCATTTTGTATATATTGTCTAATATTGCCATTTTGTGCATATTTTAATACTAAGGCATATTCATTCTGTTCCGGAATAAAGGTGACTCCGTAGCATTTTAAAGAGTTATCTGATTCGCTTAAACATTTATGATGAGTTTCAAGCTGATTTTTAAGATAATAACTTCAGTTAAAGCTCTTTGGAAAATTGAGAATTATAAAAAATGAGAATTTTCTTACTTCATTCAAAAATTCCTTTGTCATATTTTTAGAATTCTTTAAAGATTTTAAGACAACCTTGGTGTTTCTATTACGCTTTCTTCCAATAGACACATACCAGCATTGATATTGCAATGGTGGTCCTTCCTTCCATTTAGCCAGATAAACATTAGCAAATCCTCCTTCTGCCAGGAAAGTTATATCGGAAAATTGTTTATAATCAATCCAATCTAACCAGTCTATGGGACCACGTGAATTTTGCTGTGTTTTGTATATGAATTCATCTAAGCAGTTATTTCCAGTTGATAACTTTAATATTTTT